CGACTAATGAATAGAAACGATTGGGACCTCCATATACAAAGGATAAATGGTCTCTTTATAGACCTTCCCGTAAGGAGACCAACACAAAAACTTACTTGTAGCCAAGACATAAATGGTAAAGGAATACATACCTTGGCACCCATACCAAACACCTGGTACGTGTATGGCTTCATAGGTCTTGCGTGAGAGAAATATGTTAATGCAGTCACTTGTAAACTCAAGGCAAATTCATATTGAAAGTTTACAAGAACGGCAAAATACATATTGTAACCCTCACGGCCACCTAGGAAATGTGGTCACGATGATCAACACCATTCAATCAATGTTGCACTGTGCAAAAAAAAAATGAAAAAAGGAGTGGTCTCTGATATGATCCTGACATGACTTAATGGTATGGGTTTTAGGAAAAAACCCGATCCGTAAAAGTATTTTCCTTTTTTATATAAAATAGGTGAAGAGATAAAGTACATTTAGAGAGAGAAAACTAGTTGTTAAACACATGGATAATTAAAAAAGAAGGGGCCAGAAGACTTGGATTTGCTTCTGAATCACAGTAACGGTAGTATTACCGAACCCCATAATTAAATCTCTAATTTCATTCTCACCAAAGGGTAGGGCCCAAATCCCCACTGACTTATTACTTTTTCAGGAAATGAACTAGATCAAAGTGGTAGCACCCCGTACCTAGTTACCACGTTATGGTTTCCAATCTTGCTAACACCACACTGACACCTTTTAAAAAAAGTAACTCCTTAATCTATTTGAAAAAAACCAGGTAGGGGCCCATCTTTTCCACTGAATTACCCAAAAAAAAACTCCAATGATATTGCAAGTCCCTATTTTTAAGCCTAAATAGTTAAGCGTTCCATCTCCAAAACTCTCTCTCTCTCCTGAAAAAAATCACTGTTTGAGTTTTTATTGAGATGTAGCTAAAAAAAGAAAACAAAAACCTTAAGTCATAAAAATACTGGTCAAAGAAATTATGGAAAATAAGACTGTTATAGAAAACAAATAATATTATTAAATACACTAAAAAAAAGAAAGAGAGAGAACATGAAGTAAACGGTGGTCATAAAGCCTTTGTTGCCGTACTCCAACATTGATGGGTCCAACTCTTTCCTTCATTGTATGTTGATGATCCTCATGACCGCATAAACCATGAGACCATAAGAGCTACAACATGAGGACCTTTCTTTTTAAAGGAAATGATCATGTGCTCGAGACACATGATGTTTAGTTGTTATTGGTTCATCTAGACCCTTCAATACCATAGAGGTTCCAAGCCAGCAAAGTGGATCACAAGACTCACAACCACTACATCTACTTTGACCCCATATATTCCATTGTCCAAGACATACCCCAATTACTACTTTTCGCTCCTCTCCACAAAATAAACTCATTAAAACTAAGTACTTAACATCTCTTCGTTCACTACCATCTTCAATGGCCAATTCCATGAAACCCACCATTTGTTCTCACCAACCATACTAAAAAACTCTGTACACAAACCCCCTCAATGTCTTGAAGCATAAAGCCTCCTTAATGGCCGAAACCTTGGCCTTCACCTTTGTTGAAACTCCACAATTTCAGGCAAAGTAAACACAGTTCTATCCATTAATAGAAGTCTTACAAAGAAGAAAATTCAAGCTGAGAGATCAAAAAGTTGCCCTATAATGTTGCAAACAAAGTGGGTTGGGCACTTGGGAAGCAAGGGTTTTGAAGCCATCTTCTCTTCAGGTTTGTATGAAATTGAATGAACATGAATCAAGATTTGGGCAATTTAGGGAATGGTTGCCTCCACTTATTGTGTTTTGATTTCTTTTGTTCTGAATAGGAGGGGCATGGACGACATGATCGCAAGCGAGCCATTGTTCTTCGTAGAAGGTGAAATGGTCGCTCTGAGTTTATCATAGCTCAAAACTTTGCAGGAATTATTTCTACTGATGAGGGTTTTCTAGGAACTGTAACAACTAATCTCATGGGATCAATATATCACATATAGGATCAAGTCAGATTGAAAAATCTCTTTTGCATTTTCAAAATTACAAAATTGAAGGCTCTTTGGATGAACAAAGCAAAATGTTGGGCACTTGATAAATTGAATATACCTTGAACCTTAATTTTTCAAATTATTGGTTATTCTTGGCAGAGTAAAAGAGGATTGAGTGGTAAAATCATGTCAAGGTGCTTTAGGGGAACCCTCTCAATTTGTAAAGGAAACAATTGAAACAACTTCTGCCAGTTATTGGGCATGTCAAGTTATCTTTTCAGTTCTTAATCTTCCCTTTCTATAAAAATAATGTTTCCTATAAATTCTCTCAATACAATCTTCATGCCTTATTTGTCAGATTCATCCCAACGATGTCAACCTTGATGAGAAGCTTTACAAGCATGCGTGCATGGATCCCAAAACATTAATAAGTGCTGTTAAAGAACACAACTCAGGTGGATTTCTTTTCTCTCCATCTTTATTTTGAATCGATTCATTTAGAATTCTTTGAAACTCATTCTTCTTTTGGTCATTCAAAATCAGCATATTGAAGGACTTCCCAAGGATTGGGAGAAGAAACCTTGTGAGTTTTTTACTCCTATCCTAAAGATGGACGTTGGTGAGTCCGTGGGTACGGGCTCTTGCACCTCCTGATGCCCACTACCCACTGACTCGTGAAGGACTTTTCCTAATCTCTTATACATTCATTTTTCATCATAAATAAGGCAAGTGGGTGAGTTGATTAGACAAGTTCTCCCAAGTAGTAAATGAGTTTTTAGTCTTTTAATTCATTTTTAAGTTCATATCTTTATGTTTTTTGTAGATTAACATAAATGCAATTTTATTTATCTCTAGTATTTAAAAAGTAAAGGCATACAATGAAATGTTGGTTTTAGTATAAGAAAGTCACAATCATTATCGATCATTAAATATAAAATTAAGTATTAAATGTAAAATCAGATGGTTAGGAGTGTGTCATTGGCATAAAGTCCAAAATTAAATTCTTTGAACTTATATGATATACTTTAAGTTGTCAAGTTTCACATATGATCTAAGGATGGTTGTGACTTTCTTGTCCCAAAAGTAGATAGTTTTATAGTATAAAATCCTATTTAAAAAATATTTCTGATTTTTCAATATTGCATGCATTTTCCTTTTGTTCCTTTTCTTTATTCAAAATGCCCTCAGTTTAGAATACCAAATTTTGAGCGATTATGTACCCTTATTTGGCTCAGTTATCATATTGAAACTTTGTGTTCTAAACTTTCTTTTGAAAAAAACAAAAAAAAAAAAGTGATTCACAACTTGGAGTTCTGAAGAACAAGTTTTTCATTATTTGGGTGTCAAGTTCTGAAACAGTCACTTTTTTAAACATGGAAAATTGTTTCATGCAGGCTTAACCACATTTCTACATATACGGTTCAGAAAATATACAACATCCATCTATAAATAGGTGTTCCACCTAAAAACAATAGAAACTAACGGTCCCAATGTTTTCTTACTAGAATTATTATTTCTCGTTTTAACAATTTATTTATATTCATGATATCCATGTTAGAGATTACATGTCCTTAAAAGGTAAGTCTTAAAATCCATCTCAAAAATAGATTTGGAAAAATTTCGTATAGAACCCTAATTCCTCATATTATTTCATTATAGATCCTCCTTCCGTTTTTCTTTCAAGTGGTATAAGAGAACCCCTAAAGATTTCACAATACCCCATCATCTCTTATCACTTTCTTTTATAGACTTTTGATCATAAAAATTAACCTTAAAAAATATTTTTATACCATTTCAACCCAACAACTTTTTTAATGGGTGAAAGGGAAAAAGATGGTTAAAAAAGTTTTTAGGTCGAAAAGGTATAAAAGGAATTGTTGGGGCTAATTTTTATAGTCAAAAGTCAATAAAAGAGAGAGATAAGATATGCAGGGATGCGTGAAATCTTTATGGGTTTCTTTATGCCGATGGAAAGAAAAACGAAATGAGAGTCTACCATGAAATAATATGATGAATTAAGGTTCCATATGAAATTTTTATTTATTTATTTATATTCATGATCTCCATGTTGGAGATTACATGTCCTTAAAATATAAGTCTTAAAATCCATTTCAAAAATAGATTTATTAAGATGCCTAAATTTCTACATACGGAGGCTTGACCCTATAGAAAGCGGGTCCTTTAAAGATATGTTTTGTACTCGTTCTAAATTATTTTTTATATATTTTAGTAATAGACCCGCTTGAAACTTCAAGTACGGGATCCAATAATCAATGTTTAACGCATGGCATTTTTTTGGCATGACAAAACGTAAAGGCTTTTGAAGAGATGTATGGCATTTTTTTGGCATGACAAAACGTAAAGGCTTTTGAAGAGATGTAGTATGGTGTGCAACTTACAAAAAAAAATCGAAGTTTGTCTTAAATTAAAGAATGAGGTTTCTACAAGGCCTAGGCTTTAGGAAAACAAAATAAAGCCCCACCTCAAATCCTTGTTTGAAAAGTACTTTTGGCAACGGAAATTTTCATGGTGGCTCTATAATCAATTTTCAACATCTATAATACAATTTGAAACTCAAAAAATGGTACAGATCTTGCGGATATTTGAACACTTATTTTTAGGGTGAAATGGACGATCTAGATAATTTGTTACATCATACACTACTTTTAGAGCTTGAAATCCTAAGTTTTTTTCACAACCATAATGTTCAAGTCGAGATGATCAATGTAAAGGTTTTTCATTGCTTGAATTGTAATTTTGTATGAGTTATGAGGTGAGGCTTTACTTACTTTGATGGGGCTACAGCCCATCAAACTATTTTCCTGATAGATTTTAAAGTGCATTTCAAAATAAATAAATAAATAAATATAAATATAAATATAAATATATATATATATATATATATATATAACTCTTCTCAATTATTATAGACGAAAATAAAAACTTCTCAATTACTATAGACGAAAATAAAAAGTGATTTCGTTTAATAGATAAAAAAATACACCATACGCCTATAGAAGCAAAGACAAAAGGAAAAAGTCAAACTAAAATGGAAAGGAATAAACGGAAAAAGCAACCAATTGCTTAGATGTCCTTTACGAAAGGCTTTGGAGCCTACAACATCAATCACCACTCATGATAAGCATTAACGTATGTGATTTTATACGTTGAGTAAACCTATGTCAAATAGCACTAAACTTGAGTTGAGCTCCATCAACGGGTCTCGGATGTGGCAGGTAGCTTATCTTGGCATTTGGATTGACGAGCTCCCACCTAAATCATACATGGGAAATTTATCAAATGATGCAGTTTTTATAAAGCCTAGGCTTTCATGAAAACAAAGTAAAGCCTCACTTCAAATCCTCGTCTAGAAAGCACTTGGAGCATCAAACATCTTCATAATGGTTTTAAAATCAATATTTAATACAACTATGAAATTTGAAACTCAAAAAATACTATAAATCTTGTGGATCGGTAAGCACTTATTTTTTAGGAGCGACATGGATGGTCTAGATGATGTGTTATAATATAAACTATTTTTAAGGCTTGAAATCTTAATATTTTTTTCATAGTCATAATAGTCAAGGCCAAGATGATCGATCTGAAGGCGTTTCAACAACAGGATTACAATTTTCGAAGAGTTCTAAGGTACGGTTTTTCTTATTTTGACAGGGCTACAGTCCTATCAAAATATAGATAATTTATTTAACATATTATATGTATCTTTGGTTTTAAGTCAAAATACCCATCAAAATATACATCACCATGAGTTGAATTGTTGAAATAGTTGAAAAATGATAAACCATTAAATTGTTGAAATATTTCATATATTTGGATAAATTTACCATAAATACATAACCCTTTATAAGAAGGAAATATATACTATCCCCATATGCATAACAAGGTAGCTCCCATATACAAATTTACCGAGACTTTCTCTCTCTCTGTCATCTACCTTCCTCGGAGGAACTTCTTACAGATTAAGAAATAAAAAGGTTGACATTATTGCACCAGTTCTTTTGTAAAATCTCTAAACTCCCAATTTAGACAAAAAAAAAAAAAAAAAGCAGGGAGGGAAACCAAATGTTAGACGAGCATTTATCTCTAGTACAAAGTTCCAATCACCTCTAGTTGTTAACGCAAAATCATACAATTAAGGGTGTATTAGAAACAAAATTTGACTTCCTTGATGGAGAGATGATTGTGAGCAATTTTGTGCCAAACATAAATGCTCCTAATCTATTCTTTCCCAAAATATTATAGGGATTACAGTGACTTACTTGTAGCCAAGACATAAATGGTGAAGGAATACTGAGAGTTGTGTCCTGGCCAACATGTTTCCGGGGCATATCCTCGCACCCAAACCAAACACCTGGTATGTGTAAGGCTTCATGGATGTCTGTGTACAAGAATTACGTTAATACATTCATTAGGGCCTAGTTGGATGTACACATTATCAATGCTAATTCACTATTTTAGTAAAGGTAATCTTGATAATAGGTTATCCATTGTTTCGTTGTGTCCATCATAAAATTACCTGACATAAACTTATAGGCAGTCTTACATATAAGTTTTATCATTTTGAAAAATTATTTTTACTTTATTCGAAATAATATGTTGAACATTGTTTGTTCTTAGCTAGATATAGCTAAAAATAGCTAGAAATTACCAAAAAAAACAAATATTTAAATATTATTCTACAGAACACAAGGTACATGACGAATAGATAACAAAATGTATATTAATTTCAGATAAGATAAAATATACTCCACATAATTAATTTTATCACCCTTAAGGCAAATACATATTGGAAACTCACAACAACAAAAAAGGCAAATTATATGTTGTAATCCTCATAAGACATGCGGTGGTGATGATCAACACCATCCAGTATCGTGCAAAAACAAAAAAAACAAAAAGAGTGGTATTCAACAGAAGCCTTACTTGACTTGAGGGCCCACACTTCCCGTGCATTGATGATCCTCATGGCCACATAAACAATGAGATCATGAGGATTACAACAAAGGACCATTCTATGCGAGGCATTTTTTATTAGGGTTGAATTGCTAACGCATGTTGTGGATGCTTACAAGGTGCTCAAGCACCTTTAGTTGCTTAGATTGAACCAACGTCATCCAAAGGTCCAAATTGAATTTTATTTTTTATTTTATTTAAAAATGATACTAATATGAAATTTGGGCTTTACCTTCTTTTTATAATTATAATTTAATAAAAAATAAAAAATAGTTTGAATAAAAAATATTGATCAAAATAAATAAAAGGTATTTTGGGTATTTTTCTATTTAAAATATTTTTATAATTTTTATTTAATTATGTTCATAAAAATACACCTACATCCTAAAATTTAGATAATATATTATTTTAAAAAATAAAAAATAAAATATAAGACTAATTTTTGGCCAATGGATATGGCCTTGTGTAATCTCAACCGAAAGGGTGCTTGTGCACCCGTCCACATTATCTGGACGATCATTTTCTTTTTATTTAAGGAAATGATCATGTGCTCTAGGCACAAGATGGTTTAGTTGTTCTTCGTTCGTCTAGACCTTTCAAATCCTATAGAAGGTTCAATCGAGCAAAGCGGGTCACAACCATTACTTAGTTGTGGCCATCACGCCACATATTCCATGGTCTAAAGCACATCCATTTTGCTTTCTCTCTCTCTCTCTCTCTCTGGTTTGGATTTTAGAACTTACATCCCATCGATCAGGGTTGAAGTTTAGCGGATCGTCGAAGTTGTTAGGATCCACATGCAGTGTTCGGAGCCACACCGAAACCTTCCATCCTTTGGGTATTCTATAACCTGCAAATGCTCATTCTTTCACATTCCCATTTCTAGATAAAGATTCAGGTCCCTTTTGGGTACACCCAAACATAGACAGGCGCAGTTAGCATTCTGGATGACTGCGTGTTCATGTTTGGAGGGGTTTTCATGTAATAACTCAAGTAGGTCTAGGCCCACTCACAAAATGCATGTAACCAATTTTGTAGGTGCACCGCCCACATGCTGATCAATTCCAAACACAAATTGGTGCCCATTATGAGTGACATTATTTTGAAATTTGACCATAGTCCACCTTGTTGAAAAAAAAGGGAAAGAAAAAGAAGTTTGAAAATATAGTGTGCTCCATGGGGAGCATTCTATAGCATGACCCCAGCCACATTCTTCACCCTCCCTTTCATCACAGATGGGGCGGAGGAGATTGGATTGAGGAGGAGACAACAGGACTTGAGAGCATGGAAAGGGTGGAGAAAGAAGGTGGAGCGCAGTTACATTATGCACCCTAGGGAGCACAGTTTATGCTCCCACAGAAAATATACATTTTGGTATTGCCCTTCACTGTGTTTGTTCGCATGGCACCGCATTTACCTTTGAAATCCACGTCTTGGCGTGCAATTCTGAAAACCACTGATGAAACGTTCCCAAGCCTTATTGTTTCCTCCACCACCTGCACTTCACAAGAGTATTAGCAATGCATCATTCCTTAACAAAAAAGCACCTGAGAATTGAGACTTAAAAGCTCTAAAACCATGAAATTATATGGGGTAATTATGGATGTTAGACCCTAGTGACCATATGGTAAAACCAAGAAACCTTGATGATTTAAGAATTATAAGACCCTTAAAAAAACATAATTTTTGGGCACGTTTCGTTAGGGTGAAAACATTTTCATATGAAAAAATTTTCTCTTTAAGAAGAGTGTGGGAATATTTTCACACCAATTGTTCTTAATGCATCTTTTCATATTAATTTTTAACTAATTAGGTGTAAAATATTACCACACTTAACCACATGAGAAATTTTTCATATAAAAATGTTTTCTAAAAAACATTGCGAACCTAACGTGCCCTAGAAGAACCATGGTTTTTGAGACCTATCATCTCAAATGGTGAAATTAACACATTGCCAAGAACGAGCTCATGAGAAACCAAAAAGCAGAAAGAAAAAGGAGGACGAAAGGAATACTTTTGATGTATATTTCATGAGCCTGATGTCTTCTATTGTGATATAATCCCCATTCTTCTTCTTGCTTATCTCAATGTGCTCCTCCTGCAAATAACCATTAGCATAAATTATTTAAGGAACAAAGAATATCACTCCTGGGACATCAGCAAGGTTACCATCTAAAGTGCTGAAGGTAAGATTCGTAGACCTAATCTTTGATTATTACCCCCTTTTGCTTCTTTGTTAACCGTGTTAACATGGTTGGACAGCCTTTCTATATTCTCTAGAAAAGTAGGGGCGACAAACGGGTCGGGTCGACCTGGGTCCAAGTTTGGACCCACTTGCTAGACCTAGGGCTAGGTCCAGGTCAAGTGGACCCAAAAGTTGTTAGAACCATATCTCTCTAAAACTTCAAAATGGTCAAGTTGTTGCCATGTTCAATAACATGAATGAAAAGAATCATTTTAATTTCACTGTTGAAGAAAGAATGGACTCTTGGCATGGGTGGTCAGAATGAGAGAGCCACAATGCGACTCCTACCCCTTAGCACGTCAAGAAAAAGATAAAAAAAGATGTCAAGCGGTAAGCGGGTACCCTGAGACGTTGCAAGCAATGTGGGGATTTGGAGAGGTAATACAAGGCCCACATGATAGAGATGGCGGTAGACTCATAAGCCCCAAGGAGAAGAGAGAAAATGTTGTCTAACACCTCTTTCTCTTGCAAATGGTTTCCATCTTCATCACACGAATTCATCAAGGCATCTAAGAAGTCTTCACTCTTACTCCCATTCTTTTTCCTTTTCTCTAACTCTATGGCAAATGCCTTTGATAGTTTCTTCTTGCACTGCATGCGCCAAAGTCACAAAACCATGTTAATAAGCTGACTTATACTGATCTTCGAGCTAATAATCTTAGTTTCAACAGGAATCAAGCTCGGGCTAGGCTCAAGTGGTTAGCAGGTCCTCTAGCTCACGTACTACCACTAAACTACCTATAAAAACAAAAAGGAAAATTCCTGATTTTGAATAAATGGGGAATGCTTTTAAGAATAATACTTGTTGAAAAAATTTTATATAAGTGCAAGGCTCTAAATAATCAAATTAAAGAATACCTCAAAAATTTCACTAGAAGAGGTTTTTTTGATGCCTAAATATCATCAAATTGATCATCTCGACCTCAAGATGCATGGAAATGAAAAAAAATGCATTTTAAGTTTTGGAATTAGTGCATCTTGTAATGCATTTTTAGACCGTCAATTTTCAAGATTCTCAAGCTCTTATATATCTGCTCGATCTACACTATTTTTGAAGCTTTAGCTTTTATAATCATAGATGAAAATATAGTTTAAGGCTTTCACAATGATTTTCAGTATTGAAACCAAACTTCTCAACACTATTTGAAGTTGCGCTTTACTTTGATTGTTTTCGGCTTTATACAAATCGCAGCCTTTTAAAAATGGGAGTTACTCGTGAGTGATTGCCATGTCCAAACGATCCCACAGTTTGTAGAATACATGTACTATAAAAATAAAATAAAATAAAGTATTAAAGTAAGTTTAATACAATAATAGATGCATAATTTATTTTAGGTAAGCTTAGTCCATTGATAGATGCATAAAAATAACTCACATTAAAGGCATGTTGATATGCTGACCCAGGAATATTGCTTGGTTGTGATCTTATCCCTGCAACCACCCCACTATAGCACCTCTCCAACTCTTCTAGAAAAGGGCCTGGTTCAAAACTTGCAAACATGTGACATATGTTCTCAAATGTTACCTGTAATACAAAGCAAACATGTGACATATGTTCTCAAATGTTACCTGTAAGGCAACCATTAACATGCATATAATACAAGCAATGACTATGGTGAAAAGAAATATTTGAGTAATATTACAGAAGCAATTAACAAACAACCTGTATGAACCAATAGCAGAGGGACTATTATTAGATAAAAGGCTTTGTACAGCATGATAGAATTTGTGTTTCATATAATATGCTGTTAAATCCGCAACTATCTATTGTTCAATTAGATTGGACAGTTGAGGAGTTGCTAGCATGCCGTTGTAAACTGAGCATAGTATATACTTCTCAAATCCTAATTCTATTGAGATACATAAACTCTCCCTCAGACCAGAATGGTGCGCGTGTGAGTATGAGAGAAAGAGAGAGAGAGATCTTACTCTCCTTGCTTCGTGTTCAGCTTTGATGATTCCCTTTGAAGCCCAATGTCGAAGGGCATCGACAATTCGAGGTTGAACCTTGAGAATGACATGCCTTAGAGACCGAGGTTGATTGAGGGCATCAATGACAAACTTCCTTAGGCGTTTGTGGAGCTTACCCTCCGCCATTACAAGGGCGTTGGCTCCCACTAGCTCTGGATGTGGCCAATGTTTTTCAAAGAGGTCATCGGATTGAAGCACAAACTTGTTAGCTGTTGGGTCAGACACTATGATTGTAGGGGACCCGAATAAATGGCTCCTATACATTCCAACTTGTGCACCATATCTGTACAATGACAAACTCGGTACACTAAGTAATAATGACCAATTTCATTCTAGAGAAATTCTCAGTATGATAGTTTTTTGTCGTTCGAAAAATCATGGGAATAAAAAGAAAATTTTATAAAATTTAACGAGTAAAAGGTGAAAAAGGAAGCATTACATTATATTCATTATGAGAACAGTAGCAACAACAACAACAACAAAAAACGAGATAATAAAGAAGAACAACAAATATGAGATTGAATAAAGTAGTGTTATCATGATCAAATTGGTCACCGAATAGGTGACTGGTCTAGTCCAGTGAGAATTGGTATGAGTGCGGCTCAAACAAGTTGGACCAAATTTAAAAAATAAAGAAATAAATTTAAAATTTAAAATATATTATAAATTGTCCAACTTTGTTTGGCAGCTCTAACCGGTCAAATATTGATACTAACTGATTTTCAACCAAACTCAATTTTTACTTCGCACTCATCTAACCATGACTAATATGAGAACTAAAGTACTTTAGTTTGCACATGACATATAGGTACCTCTTTTTTCTTGAGTAGATGAACTCATCAGGCCTCCTTATGATTTTGAAGTACCAAAGGAAATTGAGCATCTCTCCAAAGAAGGGCAACCCCAAATGCCCTGGAGGTAGGTTAACCCCATCTCTCAGCAAGGGCTTCACAAGCCACACCTCATTCCATTGCCACAAAACCCAAGCTAGCAACCCTAATATGACACAAAACAAACCCATGCCTACCAGCTCCATCTCACCACATACATGAGCCATCCACACCTTTGGTGTCCTTTAAATCATGGTTGCCAATCCTAGTGGCCCACAAGGACGTACCCTTGTAAATTTCAAGAAGTCCTTTTGTGTCCAGACGTCAAGTATGATTGGCGGGGGTAATTTATTGTAAATATAATCAAACCAAATATGATTGGCAGTGGTAATTTTCAGTTAATACAACTAATACTCATTCTACTGTAAGTATTGACCCTTGTAAGACTTCATTAATTAAGAAAAAGCTACGATGATGATGATGAATCTTTCTAATATAAATGTGGCTATTAGTTGACATGTCAAAATATATATATATATATAATCATTCTAGAGAGAAGGAAACCGGTTTTTTATTTGTAAAGATATCGAATCTTATTTAGAGAAGAAGATATAATTCTTCGAGGAAACAAGAATTTCATGGTTATTGATTGATAAGCATGTGCTTGGACTGGCACAAAATCGGATTGACTGGTAGAACTTAGAATCTCTTTTCTCCATAGAGAGAGATCTATTAGCTTTAATGACTTAGGATGAGGTCCTGGAAACCCTACAAAAATGGTTACACAATGAAAACCCGGACTCTTCATGCAATTTACATGAAAATTTTTCATATTTATTTTCTAGAGCATGCAGCATGATATAGCACATAAAAAAAAAATTATTGAGTTATTCACTGCTAAGATTTTGACATCCAAAAGATGGACAATCTTTGTTCAATGTTGGAATGTTATTTTTCAAGAGTGAACTATTTGAATTCCTTTTCTTTTTTTATGTTAGTCAAGATCTCCCAAAATTAGATGTTCTATGTTCGATCTTGGAATGAAATTTGTTTTAGACATGTTAAGTGTGCTATTTGACTTTTACTTTTTTTATTTTTTTTCACATCAGTCACTACATTTAAGAGGTTAGATACCCAAAATTTGGGACGGTAAAAATACTCCATAACTTTTTGCGCAAGGGAGCAAGTGAGCAGTATTATGCTCCAACGGGATCAGAAATAATTCTCAGTTAGAATGTCTCTTAGTCATTCACAAAATTCGTGGGGATACATATAGAACTTCACTCTATTGATACCTCAAGCTAGATACTCTTATTCAATCAACGCAAATGGACATAAAACCATGTTCTTGTTACGAATCTCTTGTGCAAATCGACAAAACGTTGCTCTTGTCTTCTTCTAAAAAATCGGTGGTGCAAGCCAAGAATCATGAGTGTCTTCCATGCATGTTATTTATGAATTAACCAATGCTTAAATCTCTGCAATATTTTTGGCCCGAAGATGAAGGATCTAACCGTATTTATACTTTTATTGTTTCATCACAGTGTGGTACATCCTATGGTTGAACCTGAGGTAGATCTTCAACACATCAATCATGATTTTGTCATGAATATCACCTAGAACTTCGATTCATGAAGTTAAAATAAAAGTAAAAAAAGAAAATACATATATATATATATATAATGAGACTATTTATTTTTGGTACAAAGTGGTCACAAACTCACAATTAATTTTGACCATTGGATGTGAAATTAGATGACTACATTTATTCCATTAACTAAGCTTGAACTTTAAAAAAAAAATTCTCGAATTTTATGACACATCCAAGCTTTCAGATTTCACATCGGATGGTTATACATAATTGTTACCACCTTATATAAAAAACAAATGCTCTCATTGTAAACAATCCCTAAAAAAATAAAAAAGTGAGATGCACCTATGGGCTTCACAGAAAGTGATATATCAACTCATCAAGATTTACAAAAGGGAATATCGGAGGATGGACCTCCCCAGCTACAAAGCATCAGGTTAAATATAATATGATGAATATGGCCAATGGTAACAACCAGGAATGTTGTTGTCCGCAAGAACTCTAAAAACACAACGAGTTGATTTTTGACAAATAAAGAGTGATAAAAATAAGACCGGCAACAAGCTAACAACAAGGAAGAAAAATAAAACATGAAAGAAAGAAATAATGCAAAAAGAATACTAAAATTTACGTGATTTGTCATATATATGATTACAAATATGGGTTTACAACAGTATTGTCAGATTCGCTTCGCTCCGGCTGAATAGGTTGAAAGCCTTTGGATTTTAGGCCTAGGCAGAAGCGAAGCGAGGCATGGTGTTACCGCTTCAGTTAGCTTAGGGCCGCTTCGGGCTGCTTCGGTCAGATTTGGGTATGCTCCAGGTTGATTCAGCCGAAACTATGGCCTCTTCAACATAAGCAAAGAAATATCTATATAAAAATATTTTTTTATTTTTTGAAATTTTTAATTTTAATTTTTCAGTAATTTTATATATTTTATATATAAATATTAACTTTTTTCTATTAAATTTTAAAAAAAATACAAAAGTCTCCTCGCAAATCAGCCGAAACATGAAATTGTTTTATTTTTCTCACCAAACTGAATAAGACTCTGAAGCGAATATGATATTATTGATATGAATGAAAACAAAATTGTTTCTCGACTCAATTTCTATAAGGCCTAGGCCTTATGGAAATAAAAAATAAAAAAGTAAGGCCTCACCTTTAAACTATATTCAAAAAACACTTCAGGAATGAGAAATCTCTCATGAAATGGTCAAATTGCTTCTGTTGGACCTTCAAGATCTGCAGTTTAACTTTTGAATAAAAGTTAACAAATTTCGGACCTAGAAGGTTTAAAGGTTAACGTTTCCAAAGTATTTTCTTTTTTGAACTGATCCAGAAAAATTAAACTCCGGACTCTGAAGGAATAACTTTTTCAAAGTTTTTTTTGGATTAATACAGAAACCTAAACATGGGTCTTTCAACGGCTTAAGATCTTTCCTTTAATTTTAAGTTTTGAAGGTCTAAAGTACATTTTAAACTATTGTAATAAAGTTAAAGTTTGAATCTTGAAGCTCGCAAGTTTGTTTTTAACTCTCCACACAAAAAGTTAAACTACATTTTGGAGCGTCTTTCTTTCCATGAAACGAGCGCAAACAGCCCGGTTCATAGTTGTATTTAAACGCCTCAGCTAACCAAATCCTACAGTAACAAAGTGCCTAAAATATTATCCATTGGAAAATTGTTTCACGGGGTTGGACCACATTTCTACATATGCGATCCGGAAAGGGTAGAGCATCGATATTAAAGAAGGATACAAGTAAGTGTTTTATCTGAAAACAATAGAAACAAACCGTCTAAATGTTTTCCTATTAGAATTGTTATTTCTAATTTTTAAAATATATTCGTTTTTTTTATATTCATGATCTCCATAGATTATATGTCCTTAAAAATTAAGTCCTAAAATCCATCTCAAAACTAAATTTATTAAGAAGCTCGCATTTCTACATAAAATGCAAAGATGTAGAAATGTCTAATTTACATCTTACACGTTTGCAAGTTTTGGGCTTTGATGGTTAATTTGCAAAGTTTGTTGGCTATTTTGTAATAAAATCAATTTATTCCTGTAAAATACTAAATATGGGAGCACCTATATGTATGCTCCAAGGGAATAAACTGTGTATCTACTCCTTCAGTAAGTCTTGAGAAGATTTTTCAATCTGGAAAATTTTAGGGCTGCCTAAACATCTAAATGAGAAAAAAAATTTGAACTTTGCTTCTTCTTTTTTTTCTTTGACTCTTTGATATCACCCTATCAATATTTATCTTTTTCAAGTGTATGGAGGGTGCAATTTGGAATTTTTATCTTATTGAGTTTAATCTAGATTAAAGTGGCTATATCTAGGAGTGGCAATGGATTGTGTCCGATTGGACCCGGACCCAGACCCGAAAGTATTTGGGCCTAAGCCTGATTTGTCAGGTCTAAAAATTGGACCCATACCCGTACCCATCGGGTCCCGAGTCTATTCCATCAGGTCTCAAGTCCATTGCCACCCTCCCTATCAACTTTTTTTGTGTTTTTTGCTTTTTTGTTATCATCCAATACTCATATTATTGACAATAAGGTTATAATCACCCGTCATTACATTTCAAACTGTCTAATTTGTCATGTAATAGTTAAAGATGACTACGAATTTTATTGTATACAATCCTTAATATGTCCAAACAAATATGACTAAAAGTATTTTATCTACAACCATTTACGGTATGGGTGGGGTCCAATCACACCCTGACCCAAACTCGAATAGTATTCGAGTTCAAGTTTTGGACCCGAACTTGACCTGCCGGGTCCACATGTTGGACCCATACCTAGACCCGTGTTGGGCATACCCAAAAAGTTTAGAACGGGTCTAGGTCCTTGCCACCCCTATCTACATCCTAAATTTGAGGTCGTAAAATTCCTCTGGTAGTGGATTTTGCGTGAGGAACTATAGGAAGGTTTACTCCATCAGCAGTATAATATCTTTTGATAAATGAGCTTTTTCTAATAACTTATTAAAATTTTCCATTATTAAATGGCTTGAGGTATTTTCACTCGGTTCAAAATTCAAAAAGAAAATTCTGACACAACTCAAGTTGTCCAATATGAAATCGGATGGCTTGGGGTATTGGTGTATAGTATGCAATCCCTTATTAAAAAATAAATACTAAAACTGCCGCCTCTTTAGAGCGGAGTACAAGCTGTGATATAATTTTGCAGCGGTCAATAGATAATTTTTAAGAACCACTCCCCATTTTCCCCTTCTGTCATCCACTCTTTGTGAGAAAGTTAATTCCTCTTCAGCTTCGAAATCCTGTTTTTCTCTCTCCATGGAGCCACCTCCCATCGCTTCTTTATTTCTCAGTCCCCTAGCAAAGGTTGGCTTCTCTTCTCCATCTCTCGGTCCCCAAGTGAAGGTCGCCCTCTCTCTCTCTCT